TAGGTGGGTTGGGGCGTAAGGGAGGGAGATGGGGGAGGGGGGTGTGAGGGCTTGGGAGGGGGTGGATGTGGGGTAGGAGGTTGATGGGGAGGAGATTGAGGGGTCTGAGGTTGGTGGCGGGGAGGTTGAGGGATGGGAGATTGGTGGGCGTGGGTGATGGTGTTGTTGTTGTTGTTGATGATGATGATGATGATGATGTCGGCGGCGATGATGTTCTGGTGAGTATGCTCGGACTGCAATGGTGGGTGCTGGTGCACTGGTAGGCTGGCGTTGTGGGCGATAAGGATTGTTGGAGTGGAATTTGATAAAAGGGGGTTTAGTGGGTAGTCTACCATCGTTTGGCAGGGTTGCCCAGGGCGTGCGTGAAGGGACTCTGTATGTTGGGGATGGAGCATATATCAGTACTGAGTCTTGTGATTCCGTTATTGCGTCTGTTTGCAACGGAAGATCGGTGTCGTGCTCGAATGGATTGGTGATGCCCGACTCCCTCGGTGACGGTTGATTGTAGCAGGAAAGCGGTCCGTGGCGTGATTGTGTGCGGCAATTGGGAGCGACAATCGATGGCGCAGAAGGTGTAGTATTACTCATACATTGGCTTCTGCTTCCGGTACTCCCAGTACTCCCGTGGCTCCTTGCGCGCGCATGGCTACGATGCAGAGTCCCGACAAAGGGACTTAGACTTGGACATGTACTGACATACTCATGAGACTCCTGCGAGGGCCTACTGTTGTCTGATTCTGTGGCAGACCATTGAGAAGTCAGCCTATACTGCGAATCGTATTGCGAATTGCTATCCACAATTCTGAGCGCAGCAGGAACTTCGACGGACGACCGTGGTGAAGAACCAGAGGCTTCTATGTACGCCTGAGTATATTCATTTGAATCCCTAAACGGATTGCCGGGATCGCTAAATGGCGAAACACCAAGACCAAATCTTGCTCCAGATTCAAGAGAGGTTCTCGCTGTCCCAACAGCACTCTGGGGTGGCAAACCCTCAGCACCACCAGACATGAAAGCTGGCGTATTGTTGTCGTCATCATCCTGGGTACTTCTCCTGGCAGCCGGAGGGTCATACAGATGACCCATCTTGGGATACATGCTATTTTGCGACATTGTACTATTGTGCCTTGCTGCTCGGGTTGAATGATATCGGCGCACGACGAAAATAGCCGCAATGACAGCTAGAAGAACACCAGCAAAGCTAGCAGTAGCTACACCTGCGGTCTGTGAAAGGGTCAAGATCGGTTGGTCCGATTCGGGCTCTGCGAGCATTGTTGTAGACGCGGATGAGACCGGTGGCAGTATAGGTTTCAAGACCGGTGAAGGTGTAGCCTTGGAACCCAAATCCGAAGTCGATGAGTCTGTAGACAGACTCGCTGCCGCAGATGAACTTGTGCTTTGCGAGACATTACCTCGAGCTGATGAAAGAGTAATAAAAGTGGACTTTGTGGTTGTGATAGTGTCCTCGTTTGATATGGGAGGCGCAAAGAAGCCTTGCATCCTTGTCTCATTAACATTAGTACGCTGTGGTTGTTCCGAGAGTGGTTGAGTTATCGGTAACATGATATGAGCAATGCTTTGTGGCGAAGAAACATAAGAAAAAGTAGCTTGAGGCGGTGATGCATCTGCAGTCGAGTTGTTGACACTAGTTTGAGAATAGACAGGCGTGCTGTCCGCGGTGATAATAGGGCTGGAGCTTTTCAGACCAACCGTGGGGAACCCGCCTACAGTTTTTGTTGGCTCGGAAGCATTGAAGCTCTGCGGGAAAAGGCTATTGGAAGACGGTCTGGAGAGCCCAGAGGACGGCATGGAACTATTGCCATGGAGATTGGTTGATGTGCCGGCTGACGGAAATACTGATGGGTAGGGCGACAAAGCGCCCGATGTTGACGATGCAGTCTCCGAAGAATTGGACTGGCTGGCGATAGTAGCGATCATGGTGCTCAATTGAGGGATGGCGGGATAGGTGGCCAAAGGTATAGTCGGAGTAGTCGTTGTGGCATTGCTGAAGACAGCAGACGCATGATGGGAAACACTCGAGGATTCGGTTATGACGGACGCCATGGATACGCCGTTTCCAGAGGTAGTAAACGGAGTTGGGTGAGTATCATAAGTTTGGTTCATCCCAAGACTTAACGACACGATGGGAGTGGCGATCCCCAGCGGCGAAGCGATCGCAGTAGAGCTGACGGGTAGAACCGATGTGGTGGTGGCAGCGAATTGCAAAGACGGGTTGATCGACGAGGGCCCAGCAGGACTCGGGCTGGGAGGAAGGAGAATGTCTGGCTGCGATTGCGAGGGAAGGCTACTAGCACTTCTTGAAATAGTTTCATTCTTAATCGGAGTAGCAATTGCAAGAGGAGAAGGGCTCTCGAGCGGGCTGGGACTGGAAGCTGTGGCAAAATCTTGACTATTGATAGGGGTCTCTGTCGGAACCAGACCAGCCCATCCAGAAGGCCATTGCCCGTTTGATACGCTCGTTCCTGCTAACGAAGATGTTTCGTTCCTAGTTACCGATGTTGCTATGACAATGGCAATATTTGTAGACGATGTCGAGTTAGGAGCGGCGGAAAGCGATGAAGATGGCAATGAGCTTCCTGCTGAAACAGGAATTAAATTGTTTTGACTAGAGTCTGTTGTCTCTGATCGGAAGCTGGCATCCTGTAACGTAGAGTTCGTGCTCCACATCGGCGTCGACGAGACGTGAGGTGGCAAGGACAAGATGGGGAGGATACTGGTTGATGTTATGGATACATGTGCACCACTTGATGAAGAGCTTTTCCTCCATAATGTGGTTATGGTAGGAAAGGCCTGATGACTTTGCGACAGAATAGTCAAGCCACTGGTAAAAACTACGGCCGAAGAATTTCCAGGTCTTGACTCATGGCTGGAGGGTATCTCGAGAGATGTGGTCGTAGGGCTTATTGTTTCCGGGGTAGCTTGAGGCAAAATAGTAGGTACGACCAGCAATATAGAAGACGAGGGTAAATGACGCGTGAAATCTACAGCCGGGGATACCTCTGACTCGAGTGATGTGATAGGTGAGGCCAGTAGCGTAGACTGTGATCGACTTCTATCTTTAAGTGAAGTCACAATGTAGGCTGATAACGATGCTCGTCTGTCCGATGTTGAACCGACCGAGGATGCTCCAATGGAGGGTATCGCTAATGATATTGCTAATGTTGGGGAAGGCTGAGAGCTAATGCGGAGTAGGCTGGTACCAGGAACCGGTGCAATGGACGACCAGTGAGGCGATATGGAATTAGTAAATAGTGTTCTCGACTCATCGTGTGTGGTTGGTGAATTCGGGCCAAGCTTGCTTCCAAGCAAAGAATCTGGGGTCGTCAAAGTTTCCAATATAGTAGTTACGTGGCCCACAGGTAAACCTGCCGTAGTCGTAGTGACCGGCGTGACTAGTGGGGAGATAGAACTGACTCTAGATGGCAATCCTGTGGCAGTCTTCAAAGTGCTTGAAATGTCGAAAGGAATTGAAGGTACAAGTATGGGCTCCTTGGAAGTCTCTGCAAGTGTTGTTGAAATTTGAGTTCCATTTTGAAATCGCGGTTGATGGCGCAGTGGTATTGGTAGCCGAAAGTCGACAGTCGTGGTACTATGTTGATGTTCGTCTGTCCATACTGTGCAATCTTAGTTTGCGCCGTCTAAGGGACTGAAACTGAAACACTTACAGTCCATGAATGGTATGGCCTCCACGACTCCAATCAATAACCCAATGCAGGATAGACAAACGGCCTTTATGATCCCTCCCATCGCATTGTCGCAGCAGCACTGCCTACAGCGATTGACTCTCGTAATTGACAGAAAGGACGGCAAAGGAAACAAAAAGATAGATGGAAGAGAGAAACATACGCTATAAAGGCCAACACAAACGCTACTACCGCTGCATACTATAACGCTCCAACGCCTTGCCTCCCATATGGAGACCATAGGCATTCTGTAATGGCTGCATGTTCCTCTGAAATCCATGTTAGGCGTAGTGTACCTGCATGGGCTGTCAACCCTATCTATTCTGTGGGGCTGAGCCGCATCCAACACCGAGAATACCTTCCCTGGATAACAAACGAGGTAAGCTATGATTAGCACACAAACCCGGTGGTGGCGCTCATCCTTGCTGCCTTGCATATTCCGAGAAGCCTGGGGAGAAGGTAGATATTGATCGCATGTTTCAGAGGGCGTGGGGGCGCATCCAATTTACTGTTAATCTTGACACGAGTCCCTATGAATGTATGTGTAGTGTATGCGCAATGTGAAGTGTCTCTTATTTGACTGCCGGGTACAAATGTAGGTGCCATCTTCGTGATCGTTGAGCCGGCGCACGCGACTTGAAACCGCCGCGGCGGCTAAGGCACATAGTTTCGCCGTGGAGTTGAATATGACGAAATGGATGCATGTGTTGATATGATGCGGCGTGGGTTCCTTCACTCCAATTCGAGGCACAGTGCAGTGCTGTAGACTTGACGAAGCTCCTGACCACTGGCTACAGAGCGTTCGTATCGGGATGGCCCGTACAGGCAGGTGAATTCTACATTACCTACTCGCTAGACCCCTCAACTCATGATACAGCCTCGCTGTTCTACCCTTCAGCGGTTGAGCCATTTCCCGTCACTATGTTTGCCTGGGTGTCGCGAAGGATTTCCTGCAGCCAAAGAGGCAGAGCGCGTATTCTCTTCGTCAGGGCTGGGCCAAGGACAAGCTGGCCACTCTTGGCAGCGAGAATCTGATTGACCATGGCGGAAGCAACATCTTCCGGCTCCAGCAACTTCGCGCCGACGCTTTTCAGACCGGCCTGGAGAGTGGGGTGAGAGGTGATTGCTGACTTGGTCCAGCTGGGGTGGACAATGCTAGTCTTGATCTCAGGGCACTTGTATCGATGCTTGATCTCCTGGGTGAGACCCTCATGAAAGGCCAGAAGCGCGGCTTTGGTGCAGGCGTAATCAACAGCTCCTGCAAAGGCTACGAAAGAGGCCAGACTTGCGACACTCATGATGTGGCCTTTTTTCTTTGCAATCATGTCTGGAAGGAACTCCTGCACGGTGCTCCAATGGCTGAGAAGGTTGATGTCAAACAGCTTCTGAAGGCTCGCAGGTGGCACGTCCAAAATGGTGTAGGCATTCCCAATGCCTGCATTGTTGATGAGGATGGAGGGACATCCCAAGTCAGAGCGGATAGCATGGGCTGCTTCACGGATGTTATCCCTGGAGGTAATGTCGCACTTGTAATATCTAATGCATTTCCGATCCTCTGTAGGGATGTCAGTAGTGAGATTGTGAGGTTTGCAAAGTACCTACCGGTGGTGAAAGATGCCTCGAGAGGGCTGACGTCCAAGACAGCGACTTTGACGCCCTGAGACAGACACGAGCCTCTTGACGACACAGGCTCCTATTCCTCCTGATCCCCCCGTGACAACTGCGACTTCTTTGTCCCAAACCCACTGACTTTTGTCGCTTTTCCAGCCCCACCTGTTTGCAGCCAGGCGATTCAATGCCGAGTTCAAGTCGACGACAGCCCACATAGGCAAAGCCCACTTGAGATACCATTGTAGGGTGGTGAATGAAGAGGCTGTCAGAGAGAAGCCGTCAAGTCTGAAGGACTGTGGCTTGATGAGGCGGACAGCGATGGATGCCACAGTGAGTAAGACAAGGCGAAACATGGTGGCTGAAGGAAGGGGGTAGGTGTGTACCTGGCAGAATCTAGATTTGGGGGCAAGCAACGACTCCTTTGAAGTAAAGCAGTGCTCGCACCAGATGCCTCGTTTGGTCTGAGGTGAGATCACTGGTAAGTTAAGTTTCGGAGATGTTCAAACCCGGAGAGCACGTTGGTTCGGGGCCCAAGCTAGAATTGGGACAATGTAGCTACGAGTACTCTACGGTAGACTTGTGAAGATGCCGAGGCACGTTGATGTGGTGCAAGCAGTGGTGCGGTATCATACTATACTAAAAGAGACCAGACGATGGTTAGGTAACAGTTGGCGTGATGATCTCATAGGCTGGCCTGGGACGCGACTAACATGAATTACCCTTTCCCAATCCAATTGAATAGTTCACCTTTCACCTTCCCGCCCACTTGCACTCTCGCCGCCTTTCACCCCCCGCTCTTCACCTGTCCACGCAACGGAACGCATGTCTTTCGCTAGGCCCGCGTTTCTGAGCGGTACACTGACGCCATTCTTGTATCCGGCGTTTGAATGCTCGCTTCCCTCGGTGACGCGCACCTGCCGCCTGCGCAAAAGATTCACGCTCCCGGTGCGATGCAGTTCAACAGCCACAGATGCCGTCAACATACGACCCGACACGCAAGCATCGCGGCTCGACCCTGCAGCAGATGACTACTCACTGACTCCGTTTGCGGATCGGTGCATTGTCACAGTAGAGGCTGGTGGTGGTGGCCACGGCTGCGTCTCGTTCCTGCGTGAGAAATATATCGAAGAGGGACCAGCAAATGGAGGTGACGGTGGCAGTGGGGGGAATGTCTACATTCAGGCAGTCCGCGGCGAGACTTCGTTGCACAAGCTGGCTCGACGACGGCTGATCAAAGCCGGCAGAGGCAAGAACGGGCAGGGCAAGGTCAAGGGCGGTGAGCGCGGCAGCGACATCCTCATCACAGTGCCCGTTGGTACCGTTGTGCGGGAAATTCAGCGGCACGACCCAATTTCCATCATGGAGGAAGAGCATTGGAAGATGGAGTCGTACGAAGGGGAAGCAGACGAGTCTGGAGAGGACAAGGGAAGCTACAGGAAGGATCGATGGCTCGTCTATCCAGGAACGGTGCCCGCAGAGCTGAACCGGATGAAGTTTCCCAAGCTCCCACCGCCGCGACGATCACATCTTGCTGCCCTCGAGCCCGACTCTCCCATCTGGCTAGACTTGGATAAGCACATGGAGACACCAATGCTGATTGCAGCAGGTGCCATGGGAGGATTGGGCAATCCTCACTTCATGACGCCCTTCAACAACAGACCCAAGATGGCCACGCGAGGTGATGAAGGATTGAAGATTTCGCTGCAGTTGGAATTGAAAATACTGGCAGATTTGGGACTTGTGGGCTTGCCCAACGCAGGAAAGAGCACGTTGCTGCGAGCGCTAAGCAACAGCCGCGCACGAGTAGGCAACTGGGCCTTTACAACCTTGCAGCCAAATGTTGGTACAGTTGTGCTCGACAACCACAAGGGACGACCACTGGTCACGTCACGCAACAAGCATGGCGAGCTACGTGACAACTTCACAGTAGCCGATGTCCCAGGCCTTATCGAAGATGCCCATCTTGACAAAGGCCTCGGCCTCGGCTTCCTACGCCACATTGAACGCGCCGCCGTCCTGGCCTTTGTCATTGACCTAAACGCCGGCGACGCCGTCGACGCCCTCAAGCTCCTCTGGCGCGAAGTCTCCGAATATGAAACCCTTCGCGGCAAAGAACTCAACGCCGAAACACAGCGCAGAATGGTGACCTACCGTCCCGCCGGTAGTCCCGCTCCCATCACACAAACGTCTGATCTAGTAGCCACATCCCCCCACCTCGACCCATCCCCCGAACCCCTGCCCTTCCTCACTTCAACACCCATATCCTCGAAACCGTGGTTTGTCGTGGCGACAAAGGCAGACTTGCCAGATACACAGCCCAACTTCGACGACCTCTGCGTCTACCTGGATGCAGTGAGTCAAGGCGGACAGCCGCATCCGAGCGGGAAGAAGAATGCTTGGAGGCATAAGTTGCAGGCTGTTCCTATTAGTGCGATTAATGGCGAGGGAACGCAGATTATACCGCAGCTGGTTATGGATTTGTTGGAGGGTTGATGATCGATATGCTTGTGTATCCCTTTTGTCCCCTTTTTTCTTTCCCGTACTCGAGCTACGTGCATACATATATGTATCATTCCGCACTAACGCCGTGTCAAGATGAGGACGGTCTGGACTCAGTAGTCAACATGGTGCCTTGCTTGATTGAAAAAAAGGAAATTCCTCAAGACGCAAGGTGTCTAGCGATGATGTGCAAGTCATGAAACTGCTTATGCTATTTTCCCTCCTGAGTAGATGACCCAGCAAGCCACAGGGGGTGATGCACACGCGCCTGGTGGCGGGAACCATATTCGCAGCTACAGCGTAGATGTGATTGAGAGTGCACTTCGGATGCTGTGGGAAGCATACATTGTGTGAGACATGATCTCCTCTGCATCGCCATGTATTTATTCCTCCAAGAACACAACCAACGAAACTTCGCTGGATAATCTAACAAATAAAAAAGGGCATGAAAATGCGTGAACACGACTATTTGTCCGACTTGATATTCCCATTCTACGACGCCCTTCTCGAACCTCTTCAGCGCGCTCCCCAATCCAAGCGGCCCCTTGCCCTGGCACGTCAAGAGGACCTTGCAAGACTGCAAAGCCGCGACCTGTAAAATAGCCGCCCCATCTGGAGTGAGAAATCGGCAGCGTGCTGCATATCATCCGCGCGAAGTTTGAGCGCCAAAAGTACAGGGTCGTAAGAGATTCGGCTGTTGGACTGCGGTTCAGGCACGATTTGCATGCGTCGGTGGCAGAGGGGTAGGCTAGAAAGGGGCTCGTGAGTGAACACGACTACTTGCCGTGGCAGGGACGTGGTTTTCGGGGTGGGATAGAATCGAAAAAGATTTATCCAAGTAGACCTTCACCACGTCTACCATCCTTGAGGCATCCAAATTCTAGTTTGTTGTGTTCCGTGCACCCGACTTCTTGGGCTGCAACGGAAAAAGTTTGCTCATCCTGCAGCTTCCTGGACCTTGTTGGTTGACGGAGGCTCGTCGATGAACTGCGGGGGCGCAGCATCATCGAGCATGAAACTGGGGACACCAGACGACTCTCCAATGCCCTCAAAGTCGACCTCGTCGCCAAGGGCCTCCAGCTCGGCATCCAGCTCCGACTCGTCCACGTCCTCTGGCACATCGTAGCTGCGACTGATGGCGTCTTGAATGTCGTTTCCCATTTCCATGAGATCAGCCATCTCGTCCTGAATCTTTTCGATTTGGTCAATGTTGACCTTGCCATACTGCTTCTTCAGCTCCTTGGTGGTAGTCTTCATGGCATCGATGGTGGTCATTGTGTTCTTGAGGTTGTCCTGCATCATGCCGGCCTGCTCCATATTCCACGACTGTGCCTGTAGCTGGTCGCGCTGGCCCTCGTACATTTTGCGCTGCTGGAGGACCTTGAGGGCTTTTTGCTTCATGGCGGTCTTGCCTGGGCCGTCGCGCATCTTTGCGAGTTTCTGTTGGTAGGCGGAAAGCTCTGCGTTGAGCTTGGCGAGTTTGACGTCGAGGCTTTCTATGCGTGTGTCGACCTAGGTAGATGGGGTTAATTGTCCATTGGTGTACTTGTGGCAGGTATATGGAGGGAAGAGGGCGACATACGTTTGAGATGGCGCTGTTCAGTGTTGGCTTGGGCGCCGTGCTTTTGGCTCCAAAGAGGCGGTTCATGGTGGATGTGGATTGAATGTAGTATTAGGTCAGGGGGGAGGTGGAGTGAAGTGGAGTGGAGTGGAGTTGAGTACTCTATGACCTGTTGGGGAAGGGGATGAATGTTGTTGTGGACTTTCTTGGGTGTTGAAGTGTGGGGTGAGGACGGTAAGGCAGTCGCGAATGGTGATCCAAGCTCCGGCAGCGACCCGCGTCATAGCATGTCACGTGTCACGATTATCCCCCCGCACACATGCAGTTAGCTCTGTTTCACTTGAAGTGTTGGAACGATGACAATGAACATTGAACATTGAATGAAGACTGCAGGCTCCACGTGATTTGGCCACCTAACATAACACGGCTACTGCTTAGTAGAAGAATTTCATGGCACAAAGTGGAGAGCATTATACATGGCTGTGCATAGGAATAGTAAATAGTCGTAGACATGTACAGTATCACGGGGGATGGGCATGAGTGTTAGTACCACAGACATGGTCTCTGCCTGTAACACGTCAAAACAGGGAGGAAGAGAGAGAGGGACAGAGAGAGAGAGAGAGAGAGAGCCCCGCCTCCAACAGCTCTTAGTACTACTTGTGCAAGTTCGAATCAACAGAAACAGGGAAAAGAAGGAGCGGGTGTTCAAATTAGGTGTAAAGAGCACATGTGGTCCATTTGATCAAGTAGTACATGGTTCGGTAGCCATGCCCAACAGGGGTGTCGTGCGTGTCCATTGACCCTGACATAAGGTAACCAACCCGACCATAACAAACTTGTGTCTTGGGGGGGGGCAGGGGAGCTGCAAGTGACATGGCATGCCCACCCACTTTTGCACCTTGAACCCTTTCCCAGTATTTCTAACGACCCTTACGACGGCCCGGTGCATGGAACGGCTCTACTTCGCTTCTTCTTCTTCTTCTTCTTCTTCTTCTTCTTCTTCTTCTTCTACTTCTCTACATCTTCTTTTGGAGGACCCTTGTTTTCATTTCGTGTGTGTGTGTGTGTGTGTGTGTGTGAGCGAGAGTGAGGAACAGAGAGAGATCTCATCCCTCCCCCCACCCCACCCTGCCACATACCCTTCTT